AAAGTATTATATACGAATAATACAAAATATTGTATTTTCAGCTGAATTTGAAAGGTGCTAGGCGCTAGAAGTACCTATCCAAACCCAGCCATTTAAGGGCGTCAAAACTTATTGCAATTCATCTGGTGCACCACCATTAACAAATATCAGGTTAGACGAATTGGCTCAGACTCTGTGAGTCTTTACTATTTGTGGACGATAAAGCAGTTTGTTTCACAGCCTTACCAAGCCATGTGAGTACCAACCAGGGCTGATATTGTATTACGTGAATAATATGCCAAAAATGATTTCCTCTTCAACTGTGGTCATTGCTGTGTAGCGAGAGGTTCTACTGTTATGTGTATGTGTGATACATTTGCGTGCAAGATTACAATCTATGTGATCCGTGCATTCCTTTGTGTTGGATTCCTAGTCCCTAGACCAACCACTACTGTAACAAGAGTTATGAATTTGAGCATCATCCTGATGACTAAAAGTCACTGCCAATGCCAGATTAATAAGAACATGTGCTCTTACAAATACTACAAAAGCTGAACTATGAGCATGACCCTCACCGTATTGTCAAAGGTCCCCTTGGGTTGGATTAAGGTAGAAAAAAACTAGTTAACTTCTATTTGCAGGTAAGTGCATTGCCTGTATTGGCAAGTAACACCCCCTATACTGGATTATTTTGTATATAGGTTTCCCCACACATGAGTTTTGTTGACGCCTTGCTCGCTCTCTGAGAGGTTCAGCTGAGATGTCAGTTTGTTACTATATTTATGTTTTCTGTGGGAGAGACATGTTATGTAAATAACCACCATTCTGTTATAATAAGATTACTTTCTAGAGGTATATTTAAATATACAAGAATACCTTGCATGGTTACACGCCTCCGGCATAACTTTGTATGGTTATATGGCCCTGCAACAGTTCAGTGTACACGCGGCCACCACGTGTACCATGCACTAACACGGACATTAAGGGGTGAATGCGATGACAGCACGCACTTCACACACCACAGCAAGGTCGGTAACTGTCATGTGGCAAGAAGGATACAAATCTTGAGCAGCAAAATGTTAAATACCAGCCATGACGCAACACAGTATATTGTGTCAATCGTGCAGTATGCCATTAAGAGTGACACCTAGTGCAACTTACTTTCCAGCACCCAGATGGATTTTGAAATTTCTATCATGTAACATGACTGTGTTTGGTTGGATAAGTCAACGCATACTTTTCATTTAAATTCAATAGTGTACAATACAAATCATATAATTGCAATTATATAAATTTGCTTCATAATAATTGACCTCTGCAGTTTCACTAAACCAGTTGGCAATTAGCTACAGAAATGTAGTGTTAGCTACCACGGCTATTTTAATTCATCTTTATTAGGAGCATGGAAAAAATTATACTAGTTGTGCTTGCATAGTATATTTATCATGGAATTACGCTTAAATAATTTAGACAATACACGGCCATCCGTCTGATTGGAATTGCGTCCTACAAGGATCACTACTTGGTTTTTTTCACTGTTCATTATGTATGTATCAGTGTTTGCAAAATACTCTATAATATTCAAATCAATTCATACTCGTTCTGACTGCAACAATCTCTAAGAAGATATTCATCATGTTCTAATCTAGTGTTTCATATGGCAGTTTAAATAATGCAAAATATCATGTGATTTCTTTTAGTGCCAAACATAGCAATATATTCACAAAACAACTCATAACAGAAGTGTTCGATGCCTTGCAAAGCAAAACTATGGGCGGCTATTTGTATTGTATTTTGAAATAATCAGGTACTTCCTCCAATACTAGTTTATTGTGAAGAATATTACTGATGTTGTTATTTTATGAATATGAATTCTGTCCTCACTATTGAAAATATAAAATATTGGCAATGTCTGATAGAAGACAGTCGATATTCCGATGAATGAAGATTAGTCATGCTCTTAACATTCGAATACTGTATTCAAAATGGTGTGAATACGTAGTGGTTGATCAGGCATAGCTAACAGGTCATTGAACTGGAATATAACGTTTTTGTTATTTTTACCGTGCCTATGGCCATGGCTGCCTCGTTACTTTTGTCTAGGGCTAGACAAACTGCCCATACCAAGAAGATTGTTATCACATCCATACGACATTGCTGTTTGGAGGGTATAAACTAGTGATACGATATGTTCAGCACAGTTGAGTGTTTGGAGGAAAATGCGAGAATGAGTAGTGACTGAATCGAAATACAATTAAAAATATTCCAACTTTTTTTGAATTGTAATTTTCAAATTGTAACATTTTTATTCCCTGTCATTGTTTTTTGTTCATATTGGTAATTGTCCGTTCATCTACAATTACAATTTCCATCTTCCTTGATTGCTTTGATCTTTGCTTTTGATACTTCGCATGTGGATTCCTAGGGTCGACCTCTGTCAGATTTGTTCATTTCATGACAATATCTTCAATTATCTATTTTTGGTAAAAAAATGCTATTTTCGGATTATTCTTGAAAACTACTTGCTGGATTGTTTTGATACTTGGTATATATGGATACCTTGAGTGAACTTATTCCGTGACGATATCTGCAATTCTCTATTTTTGATGAATATTTTTTGTCGTTTTTGTAAAAAATGCTATTTTCGACTTTTTTTAAACTCAATTGTTTTGATACTTAGTATGTATGTACATTGGGTGAACGTTTATCCGATTTGTTCATTTTATCAAATTTTTTTGCTATTTTTGATCAACAATTTTATTGCTTTGATACTTGATATATGTGTATGTTGGATGGACTTCTATTAGATTAGTTCCTTCTGTGCATTAGGGAAA